CCATGCCAGCTGTGGCAACCTCAGGTCTCTGTTTGTACCCCCTGTTGTGGGCCAGGTCGTGTCGTTTGTGGGATCGTTGGGGGTGGCATCGATCATGTCTGAGCTTGTTGACCTGTTTGTACCCCCGGTGGTCATTCATATCGTAACATTCATGTCTACAGTACAGTCTGTGTATTGGTTCATCTCCCTGCTGGTGTTATCATTTTTGTTGGGCCTGGTCATTGGCAAAACACGAATGCAGACTGAAGTGAGAAATAATTACATTCAAGAAATAGTATCACTTTCACCATCAGGATATACACAAGTGTTTTCAGTTAGGGGAGTTCTATCAACTGTCAGAGTAGTAAAATTGATGCATAACAACCAGGTTAACTTCTTAACTCTACAAAATAATTTTAATCTCATCTTTTCCTTATTGATATAACCTGCTTGATGTATTTTTGTTTATGATTAATTTCTTCTTTGTGTTATTTAAAAAAGAAGACTTTTGAAAACATGAAAAAAACATCTCAGAAAAAACAGGCAACAATATAGCTGTGCCTATGAAGGAAATACTGATTATCAAAAACTTCATAAACTGTAAGAAATCATATTTTACTGCTTTGAACTTTTAACAAGTATTCTTTTTACAAAATCAATACCCATCTTTCATTTTCACTGAAAAAAAACCAGCTATCAATGAGAACTGTGTGAGATGGAATTCAAGAATATAGTCCATTTATCTTCTTCATAGCACATACAATGCATGTCCCTGCAGAACTACTCACAACAACAGTAAAATAAAAAACGTTTATCATTCTACAGGGGCAGGTATTGCTGTGTTAATTTTAAAGATGTCAAACATGTCACCTCCTACTGGCTTCTTTTGAGTTTATGCTAATAGTTTAACTCTAGAAAGAAGGCTATCAATACCTACAGTACCTGCTCTCTGCATCTGCAAGGGAAAACCATGGAATAGACCAACTCTCACTAAGCTAATAATCTTTCTGTTTGTTGTATGTGACAGACTGGAACAACACTCCAACACAAATCAGATAAAACACTAGCTCTCTGAAGAGAAGCTCTCTGCTCAGGAAATTCTGCCACCACACTGTAGTCACACTGGGTCTGTGAAGCTTGAACTGATGGCTTGTTACAAAGCCAACTAACATTACATAGGTAGGTATGTCCAGTAACAATATGAAGACCATCTTCTTTTCTGTTCCTGCTTTAACAGACACATGGAAAAATAATAATAATACTAAGCCACTTGAAAGGAAGTTCTTTTGAAACCATGGACATACCATATGCAGTTCTGCAGAACAGCAGAACTCAGTCTGCCTTTTTTTGCAGACAGTCAGACTGAGGATTCTGAGGGGTTTAAGGCAGAACTTCCACACGTGGGCTACATACTGAAATTGATATTAATACTAATTTTGCCTAATTTTGAAAGATGCAAAGTATCTAAAAATACCATACATTTATGGGGACACTTCTGAAAGCTCACCTATGAGTTACACCAATATTGCCTGGAAAAGTCCAATGCACACTTATAGCTCAAGCTCCTCAGCTAGATTACAGCAGCAGAGATCATGATTGCAGCAATATGGGTGGGTTTTTTCTGCTGTCTCAGTTAAACAGTTCTTCCTCTCTTGTCTACATAGACTCACGTTGCAAACACAGCATGACAGAATATTGTGCCTTTCAACCTTGTGCCTTTACTGCCTTCTAAATTCCATGTTAGCAAAATATTGGGTACTGGCAGCTTTTCTGGTTAAACCTATATAATACACAGAATTTTCTGGGAAAACTATATCACATTATACTCTGGTTTAAATATTTTCAGTACCGGACTGAAGCAACAACTACTATTATGGCTTAAGGATTACTTCAGTTTCTGTAACCACAAACTGAGCATTTTGTAGGGCTTTAAAAACATTTTTTAAGCCTGAAAACAACTACAGTAACATTCTGCAACATTAGGTCTTGCATTCGACAAAATTGTGATAAATGGTCATTTACAGATATTGATTGCAGCTGCATTGCCAAGGTTCAAGAATACTTCATACTTCAGGAAGTTACTCAGTTTCTCCTTCTTGTTAAACCCAAAATAATTTAAAAAACAACCCACCAGACAAAACCAGTCCATCATACCCAAACTCTGCAACTACTTCCAGTGTTGGCTGAATAAAGTATTTTCAAAGAGTTCACAGATAAACCTGTCAAGTAATTTCTGAGGTAAGATAAGCTTGGAAAGAAAAGGCTCTCTAGGAAATTTAAAACCAGAGTTAGTCTTCATAAAAAAATAAAATTCACTACTGATATTCAGAAGCTTCAAGCTTTCTACAGAGCTAACATTACTTTAAATGTTTAAACAAAAAAATTTTAAAAAAATATAATAAACATATTTGCTTTTATGTCATTGCTGCTTCTATCACCAAATACTAATCCTCTGTGGACAGATACACCTCCATAGATAAGTTCTATTCAAGAGGGATCACTCTTATGGTTGAAATAGCTACAATGCTACTCAGCTAATTTTAATGCAATTATTTTGTTAGATTGGACTCTGGATGCAGTTTCCCAAATGCCAAAAGCTGATTTCAAGTCTCTGCAGCCAGACGTTCCTTTTCACCCTTTCCTTAACACCCTTTCCTATGCTGTCACTATGCTTGGGAGCAAAATACTTGGCTGAGGGGAAGGCAAGATTTCCATTTCTGACACCAGCATAGACAGACTGGCCTTGGCCAAGCAAAACATGTATCCTGCCTGCAGTCAAGATCAGTCTCTTGCACACCACGTCTTGTTAACGGCAAAATATAGGACTCAAGTGCAATTGAACTGGGGATTCTAAGGTCATCAGTTTGGACATCAACAATGAAAAGGATTCTCGCAATAGCATCCTTCTCTTATGTGTACCTCTGTTCACATGTTGACTCTAAGTTTAAAAACTGAACAAATTTTGCACAAGTAGCAGTGAACGTTATACAATGGGAAGCCTACTACAAAGCCTTCTCATCTTTATTTAGCGCAAGCTGACTTCTGGGAAAGAAAGCTCTGGAGTGAAACTTACTTTTTACTGTTCTGGTGAAGCTGCTTTCTCCTTTCTTTACAAATGGGTCTTGCAAAAGATGTGCTGCATACAGGACCACCTGGCTCACTCTACATCACATATCTGGAAGCTGCCATCCTCAGCAACCTCCCTTCCATTTACGCAGTCACCACCATATAGACTATTATTCCACCACTCTGTCTTTCTGCTTCTTCCACTGCTAATTCTCATCTACAACAATTAGAGACTGCTTAGAATGATCGAAAGCAACAAAAAGAAAAAAATATGGTGAGTGCAGAAAGGGAATGCTGTTGGCTTGCTGCCTCAAGCATGTGGTTTTGTGTGTTTAAAATCAGTATGGTTGCTGAAAGAACAGCATTTTTATATTTTGCAAGCTCTCCTGTTAAAACATGTAATTAAAGTAACTGACCTTCCTAAGCTTGAAGACCATATTTCATGCTTCTTCTAAAACACACTTTTATAATTAATAATTCCTTCTGATTATTGATGCAAATGAAATAAAATAGCATTTTAGTTCCTTTGTCATACTTCAAAAATTCTTGAGGGAGATGAAAAAGAGGAGTCTGTGCAAGTCTAAAATCAGGCTGTAAGTCAGCCGTCAGTGTAAGGTCACTCTTACATAACTAAAGTACCACCAACATAAGGTAAAAATGTAACTACCTTTTTTTCTCCACTTATTTCTTTCTCCTTTCCTTGAGCTTTTAATTTTCAGATTTTTAGCCATAAAAGAACCATTGTTATCTGGCTGACAGCAGAATAAGTTACATGTTTCTATATAAATGTAATGTAAAAAGTACCAGGAACATTACACACCTGGTATCTAGTGGTTACACAAAACTAAGAAAAATTCAAGTAAAGAAAGCGAACCAGCATTGAAATAGGAATAACTTGCAAGAATCCTATGGCCCTATGACATTTAGGTACAGTGACTAAGAATAAAAAGCACAGAGCATCAGCCACGACCACTTTTTTTTTTTTGTGACTTTACCTTAAATCTTGCTATAGAATTTTGTATGTATAATGTACTTCCCTTTGACGTAGCACTGTGAGAGAAAACACTGTTCTTTCTCATATTCAGCACTTTGGCACATAAATCACAGCAGTGAGAAGATTGTTCAAGAGACAGGCACAGTCATTCCCATTATTTGTCTAACACTAAACTGCTCCAGGAAAAAAATTTGCTTTCAACAGATATCAAGTTTATATGAAACAAAAAAAAACCACAAACAAACAAATACTCACAACTTCGGTTTGGCAAGCACAGGTGGTGGCTCCTTTGTGGGTGAAAGCAAGGCACATGGTGATGGGATGGATTTATCATCATTTGGCTTGCTGTTAATCATTCCATTTACTCCATGAATGGGATGGATACCATTTGTTTCTTCCTCAAATGAATTGAGCTGTAGCTGAAGGGCTGTCACACCAGATCTCAGTTCAGTGTTGTTTGCTTGATGGGTCTCTGCATATTTCTTAGGAGGATGCTCAAGAGAACTAATTTCAATTGGAGGAAGTGGTGGGAATTGATGGAGATCATTAGTGTTGGATTCTCTCGTCAGTGATTCATGATTAGAACTTTCTGAGTTGGCTAAAAGAAATCAAAAAGACTGTCTTTCCAACAAGTCATAAAGTACACAGTAGATACATGCTATATTTTCTGTTTATTGCAAGTGAGATTTCTTTGGTTCTGTGCAAGTATTTTTCTGACCTCCTGTTGATAATTTATGCTGAACTAGTTACATGATTAATTTTCTGAATTTGCCCCATGCAAAAGGCACAGTAAGGAACCTTATGGATCTCTCTATATCTATTTCAGGAATCTAGCTTTTAACTGAGATTGGCAAGTATGGACAGTACCTGGAGTGGCATTTTCTCTTCCTGGAGTCTCAGCATCATTTGAGAATAAATAATTTTAAAATGCCACAGGGTGTATGTACACATGGCACATTTGCAACAGCAGTGGGGTTAGTGCATTCCACAACAATATCCATGCATATATATTACAAAGCTAAATATATGTCACAGTTTTTGTTTTACAGAAAGCATATATCACCTTAGGGAGCATACTTTAATCTGCTTTCAATTTGCCTCTCCTGCCATCTAGTCTCAGAATACTAATGCTTAAAAATCTGCCAGGCGTCTGCCAGACACTTTAAAAATTGTTTTTTACATTAATAAAAATATTAAAAAAGGAAATAAGCCAAAAAAACCCATTCAGTTTGCTTTATATGAATGCTCCATGGTTGACAAAACCCCTGTGTTACAGCAGCCTTTTTCTACAAGAGAAACAGACCAACAACTGCACAAGTAAATTATTTATCTAAGATCTTTGATTAAAAATGA